TTTTTTTCATTTTATTAAGCAATTTTCATCACCTTTGCAACACTTCAATACCGGTATATATCTGGTAAAAATACATTTTTTCCCTTTTATGTAATTACATATATGTGGTTCCCTTATATATACTAATATACTAATATGTTCATTTATGTACATTTATATACAGTACATAGTTAGTTTTTTTTAACATTTTACATTTTATATCACATCTTATCCTACTATAATACTGCATTTATCTATATATTTGTGCTTTTTACTATTTTCTAGCTCCTTAATCCTCTTTTCTTGGTTGATTTCCTAATCTTTACATCTATTGTCTAACCAGTTATACCATAAATTCCATATCAAATAATATTCAGTTTCTCCTCTGTCTTTTATTTCCATCATTAATTTATCCATCTCGGCGCACTTTAACACTTTCTTTATCACACTTTCCTCTGACGGTATATTTTTATTTTCCCAGTTTTGGGCATAGACTATCTTGGCCGCGGGAACTGGGCAAAGTTTAGCTCCCATCTTTTTGCCAGCTGCCAATCCAAGTTTCCATCTCTGCTAATTTCAATCAGGATAGACCTGGAAGGGACCTTGGAGGTCTTCTAGTCCAACCCACTACTCAAGCAGGAGACCCTAGACCATTTCAGATAGGGGGCTGCCAGTCTTTTCTTTAAAAGACTTTTAAAAAATCATATATATTCATATATTTCATCCGAAGGACATATTTTTATTTCTCGATTTCTTTTTCTCACTGTCACAGTCCATTGCCAAAGTCTCCCCATTGACAAGGGAATCAGTGGTGGGTTTCGAATTTGTTTTACTACCGGTTCTGTGGGCGTGGCTTGGTGGGCGTGGCATGGCTTGGTGGGCGTGGCAGGGGAAAGGATACTGTAAAATCTCCATCCCCACCCTACTCCAGGGGAAGGATACTGCAAAATCCCCATTTCCTCCCAATCAGCTGGGACTCGGGAGGCAGAGAATAGATGGGGACGAGGCCAGTCAGAGGTGATATTTATCGGTTCTCCGAACTACTCAAAATTTCCGCTACCGGTTCCCCAGAACTGGTCAGAACCTGCTGAAACCCACCTCTGAAGGGAACCTATATAATCCTCCTTTTAAATTTCCTCTTGCTTAAAACTTTTTTAATACATTTTAATTGGTGACCTACATTGACCTAGTTCCAGGAAAGGCTCACTTCTGGCGAACAGAATACACCCATCCTGTTCAGCAACCTGTCAGCGATAATCCTATTATTAAACTTTTCCAGGTCAAAGATTCAGGTTTCTTGTCTGTTCAGGAATGTCTCTTAAAATTGAAAGCATGGCTTCGCCTTTTTTATTGCAAGAGGAATTCCTGTGCCTTCAACATCTGCCTGAGCTCTTGTTTCTTCAACATCTGTCCAAGCAGGGTGGGGGAATACAAAAATGGCTGCAATCCTTTCACCATAAATCAAGGGTTAGGTTCAGGGGTGAAATCCAGCAGGTTCTGACAGGTTCTGGAGAACCGGTAGCGGAAATTTTGAGCAGTTCGGAGAACCGGTAGCGGAAATTTTGAGCAGTTCAGAGAACCGGTAGCGGAAATTTTGAGTGGTTCGGAGAACCAGCAAATACCACCTCTGGCTGTCCCCAGAGTGAGGTGGGAATGGAGATTTTGCAATATCCTTCCCCCAGGAGTGGGGAGGGAATGGGGATTTTGCAGGATCCTTCCCCTGGAGAGGGGTGGGAATGGAGATTTTGCAGTATCCTTCCCCTGCCACGCCCACCAAGCCACACCACGCCCACCAAGCCACGCCCACAGAACCGGTAGTAAAAAAAATTGGATTTCACCACTGGTTAGGCTACACACCTTGCTCTGCCTTAGATATGGGGGGGATTTGTAAGAACGCATCTGCGGAACAGACTCCCTGAATAAAAGAGGGGGGGAAAGAGAGGAGCCTTGGTGGCGCAGTGGACTAAACTGCTGTTAAAGTAAAGCTGCCAGCTGCCTGCAATTACTGCGAGTTCAATTCTCACCAGGCTCAAGGTTGACTCAGCCTTCCATCCTTCCGAGGTAGGTAAAATGAGGACCCGGTTTGTGGGGGCAATAGGCTGACTTTGTATAAAATAGAACATCGCTTAGGGTGGACCAAAAAAGCCCTACTAAGCAAGTATATACAAAAGTATGAAGGCTATTGCTTAATGCATTGTAAGCCGCCCTGAGTCTCCAGAGAAGGGCGGCATATAAATCGAACTAATAAATAAATAAATAAATAAATAAATAAATAAATAAATAAATAAATAAATAAATAAATAAATAAAATGAGTGGAAAAGGGACATAGATCAATTTGCATTCCCGTTCACATTCCCCCACCCCACCCCCCAGATCTCTAAGAAATTCAATTTAAAGGGTTCCGTTGTAGATTGTAAGACAAGCATTTGGGGTACGATTGCCCAAGAAGAGCCAAAGAGTTGCAGATGATAATCAGACAAAGGAAGGGCAATTGGGAGTTGAGAGTTGGGTTCTCCCTCCTCCCTTTTCCCTTTCAAAGGATCTGCCACTGAATCCCCTGGTTGGTTCAGGAGGCTGGCTGGCTCATCAATCCAAAATGCCTGTCCTCTGGGCCCCAGGGTGGAAGAGAGACAGAGGTGGGGGGGGGGGGGGGGGGAGAGGGGGGAGGGGGGGGCAGGGAGGGAGAGGCACTATCTTCTATTGTGCTCCCAGTTCTCTAATTTGTAAATTTCAGCATGAAATATTTAACACTGCTTCTAATTTGCATATAACAGCATGCATATGCACATAAAGGGTAATGAGAAAGAAAGAAAAGAAAGAAAGAGAGAGAGAGAGAAAAGAGAAAGGAAGGAAGAGAAAGAAAGAAAAAGAAAGAAGAAAGAAGAGAGGGAAAGAGTAAGAAAAGAGAGAAAGAAAGAAAAAAGATGGGAAGATAGATAGATAGATAGATAGATAGATAGATAGATAGATAGATAGATACATACATACATACATACATACATACATACATACATACATACATACATAGATGATGGATGGATGGATAGATAGATAGATAGATAGATAGATAGATAGATAGATAGATAGATACTGGTAGATAGATGCTGGTAGATAGATACCGGTAGATGATAGATGATAGATAGATAGATAGATAGATAGATAGATAGATAGATAGATAGATAGATAATGGATGGATAGATAGATAGATAGATAGATAGATAGATAGATAGATAGATAGATAGATACTGGTAGATAGATGCTGGTAGATAGATACCGTAGATGATAGATGATAGATGATAGATAGATAGATAGATAGATAGATAGATAGATAGATAGATAGATAGATAGATAGATACCGGTAGATAGATACCGGTAGATAGATAGATAAATTTCCCCTTAAATGAAATCACTTTGGCTCTTTAGGAAAGAAAAGGGCATATAAGAGTAAACATTTTTATTTTATTTTTAAATCAAACTTTTCAGAAGGAGAAGCAGAATTGAAAAAGGAAGAAGAGGAAAAGCAAAGGACAGTACAGATAAGAGATTTTGCAAGCCTAAGATTAAATAAACCAAGTCCTCAATTCTCAGACTATGGTTGATTTTTTTTGTTCTAAGCACATTGCTTAGACATTAAGGCTTCACATGGGGAGCATCCCAAATTTTTGTTCCACCGAGATGCTTTCAACCATTAATTTCAGACAGGGAATTTTGAATGGCTCATTTGCTCTCTGGTTTATATTGGTCCAGGCAGGCTAATGGAAAGAAAAAGATAATGAAGACACTTAGGGGGGTGGGGGGTGGAGGAGACCCCTAAAATTAAAGATGCTCCAGTATCCTGCTGTGTCCAACCAGACCCATCTACCAGTACATCCTAAACTTGCATTATGGAATTTCATCTATTGTTCTTTTTCTTTAAAAAAAAAAGCATTTTAAGAAATAATTTAAAAAAATGAGAGCCAAAACCAATGTATATAAATGAGCAAGGAGTGATCGTGGCTTTTATTTTGTTTTTCACACTTATGACCATTGCAGCATCCCCCACGGCCACGTGATCAAAATTCAGATGCATGGCAGCTGACTCGTACTTACGACAGTTGGTCACGTTATCCCCTTTTTGCGACCTTCGGTTAAGCAAGGGAGAAGCCTGATTTGCTCAACGAACTTAACAACTTGCAGGGTTGGTTTTTTTTTCGCTTAACAACTCTAGCAAGAAAAGTTGTAAAATGGGGCTACTGAGTTACTGTTACAGGAGGTCCTCAATTTGCAAACTATTCGTTTCATGACCGTTTGATGTTAACAACAGCGCTGAAAAAAAGTAACTTCCAACCTATCCGGTTGCTCTTGCAAAACTCACTTAACAACTGTCTCGCTTAGGAACAGAAATTTTGGGCTGGAATGTGGTATTGCATTCATATCTATCTATCATCTATCTATCTATCATCTATCTATCTATCTATATCTATCTATATCTATCTATATCTATATCTAGTATCAGTACCAGTACATCCTAACAAACTATTCTAAAAATACGGGTTCTAGGTAAGTCTAAGAAGCAGACATACTGCGAATTCCGGAACTTAAGATTTTAAAATTTAAAATTTAATTTATAATTAATATAATTTTTAATGATATATCTTTGAAGCTGTTGCCATTTCTCCCCCAAATAATAATTTTGGACATTTTGCTTAATTTTTCTTTTCTTCTTTCTTCTTTTTTTCTTTTCTTTTCTTTTCTTTTCTTCTTTTCTTTTCTTTTCTTCTTTTCTTTTCTTTCTTTTCTTTTCTTTTTTTCTTTTCTTCTTCTTCTTTTTCTTCTTCTTCTCTTTCTCTTTCTCTTTCTCTTTCTCTTGTCTTCTCTTCTCTTCCTCTTCCTCTTCCTCTTCTCTCCTCTCCTCTTGTCGGAACGAAGCGACTCGCGTCCTTTCTCGGATCGCGAACCGAAGCGGAACTTTTTACGGCCGGGGCGCGGTTTCCCGGCGGGACGCCTAAAAGCGTCGGACCGACGGCCGCTGGGGGGCGCCTTTCGCCGCCGCACCGCAGCCGTTACGGGGCGGGAGGACCCCGCGCGGGCTGCGGAGCCTCGGCATCATGTTCGCCGGCTTGCAAGAGCTCGGCGTGGCCAACGGGGAGGACTTGAAGGAGACGCTGACCAATTGCATGGAGCCCCTCAAGGCCATCGAGCAGTTCCAGGTGTGTGTGGGGGGGAAACTCCCTTCCGCGTTCCCGTTGCCATGGGGACTGGTCCCGGGGATTTAGCATGCAACTTTCCCTCCTGAGTCTTCTCCCACCTACCCACGGCTTGCAAACCCTGGGGAGGGGGGAGTTGCTCTTAGCACGGTCCTTCCACGCGGGTGCAAAAAGCACTCAAGTCCCGGAGGGAAGATGCCTTGCTCCCCACCCACCCCTTCCTTCCTTTCCTTTCCTTTCCTTTCCTTTCCTTTCCTTCCTTCCTTCTTTCTTTTCTTCTTTCCTTTCCTTTCCTTTCCTTCCTTCCTTCTTTTCCATCTCTGTCTCTTTCCATTTCCCTCCCTCCCTCCAATCTATCTACTTTCTTTCTCTTTTTCTTTTCTTCTTTCTTTTCCTTCCTTCCTTCTTTTCCATCTCTGTCTCCTTCCATTTCCTCCCTCCCTCCAATCTATCTACTTTCTTTCTTTCTCTTTTTCTTTTCTTCTTTCCTTTTCTTCCTTCCTTCTTTTTCCATCTCTGTCTCCTTCCATTTCCCTCCCTCCCTCCAATCTATCTACTTTCTTTCTTTCTCTTTTTCTTTTCCTTTCCTTTCCTTCCTTCCTTCTTTTTCCATCTCTGTCTCCTTCCATCTCCCTCCCTCCAATCTATCTACTTTCTTTCTTTCTCTTTTTCTTTTCTTTTCTTCTTTCCTTTCCTTCCTTCCTTCTTTTTCCATCTCATTCTCTCCATCTCCCTCCCTCCCTCCAATCTTTCTTTCTTTCCTTTCTTTCTTTCTTCCTTTTTTTCCCATCTGTCTCTTTCCATCTCCCTTCCTCACTCCAATCTATCTTCTTTCTTTCTTTCTTTCTTTCTTTCTTTCTTTCTTTCTTTCTTTCGTTTTCCATCTCTGTCTCCCATCTCCCTCCCTCCAATCTTTCTTTCCTTCCTTCCTTCTTTCTTTGTTAATTTCTTCCTTCCTTCTTTTTCCATCTCTTTCCATCTCCCTTCCTCCCCCCAATCTTCTTTCTTTCTTTCTTTCTTTCTTTCTTTCTTTCTTTCTTTCTTTCTTTTTTGCTGAACTGCTCCTTAAAATCTCTCTGGGTCTGTTGCAAGCCACGCATTCGGCTGTGCATGCATGCATGCATTCACACACCTTGCATCTGGTGCAAGGGGGCTAACAGGCTGGCCAAGATTGAGGGTTTCCCAGCCTGAAAATCTAGGGTGGGTTTTAGTCTCTTTATGGCCTCCAGATGTTTGAACTGTCTTCCTCTTCTCTCTCCCCCCCCACCACACTCCCACCCCCTGATTATTAATAAATAAATAACTTACAACAGTTCATTTAGTGATCAAACAGCGCTGAAGAATGTGACTTAGGACCGTTTTTCCACCGTTACGACCGTTGCAGCATCATGGTGGGTGAGAAATGTGCGAATTACCTGTCCTTATCTGTTTGAATCCCACCCGTGTCGTGTTGACAGACAGAAAACGGCATCCTGTTGCCCTCTCTTCAGTCCGCCCTCCCTTTCCTGGACCTCCATGGAACCCCTCGGCTGGAGTTCCACCAGTCGGTGTTTGATGAGCTGCGTGAGAAGCTTCTGGAGAGGGTCTCGGCTATCGCCTCTGAAGGAAAGGCCGAAGAAAGGTAAGTCGGGTGGACCACCGTAGAAGGGATCTGCCCGTCGGGATAAAAGTGGACGTCCGGCTTCTCCTTTTCTTCTCCCAGGTACAAAAAGCTGGAAGATCTCCTGGAGAAGAGCTTCCCTCTGGTAAAAATGCCATCCATCCAGCCAGTGGTGATGTGCGTCATGAAACATCTGCCCAAGGTAGAAACTTAAGAAAATCGGTGTTGAATTTGGATGCCACCTGGGTATAGTAAAAGGGTGATCAGTGGTTTGCTTTGGTGGAATTCAGGATCATTCTTAGTCCTTCCTTCCTTCCTTCCTTCCTTCCTTCCTTCCTTCCTTCCTTCCTTCCTTCCTTCTCTTTTTCCATCTCTCTCTACTTCCATCCCCCTTCCTTCCTTTCCTCCTTTCTTTCTTTCTTCCTTCCTCCTTCCCTCCCTCCCTCCTTCCGTCTCTCTCCTCCCTCCGTTCCCCTTTCTTCCTCCTTCTTTTCCTCCTCTTTCCTCCCCTTCCTCCATCCTTTCCTCTCCTCCCTCCTTTCTTTCTCCTTCCTTTTCTCCTCCTCTTCTTATTTCCTCCCTTTCCTCTTCCTTCCTTCCCTTTCTGTCTCCTTCCTCCCTCCTTTCTTTCTCCTTCCTTTCCTTCCTCCTCTTTCGTGTCCCTCCCTCCATCCCTTCCCCTTCCTTCCTTCCTTCCCCTTTATGTAGAAATCAATTTCCTCTGTTTCTATTTTTAAAAAAACCCCTTTATTCTGAACTTCATGTCTAAGTGCTATAAGGCCAGAGGAGGTATTTTGCATACAAGGTATTTCTTTCTCTCTTCCGTAACTGGCTGCACTCTAACACTAAGAAGAGCTGACATTGTGAATTATGGTTTCTTGTCTCAAACTCACCCTGTGTCAACATCTTTACAGATTGCACACCTCTTTTTGTTAAGGTCTTGACAGGGAAGAGTGGGCTACGAGACTTCAGTAGCTCTGTTCCTCTCTAGCTTTAGAAACAGTTTTATAAAGCTCTTCGTTGCAGAGCCTAGAAAATGGTGAGGTTTGCATATTGTGTCCATGTTTGATTTGGCTTGGTTTTAATTCGGCATGTTGTCAGAAGCCAGCCATTAACTGGGCTTCTTGGGTTAGCAGAACAACCATTCAGGAACTCTGCAATAAACCACGATTTTAAAAGAACGTGGCTGGGAGAAAATCAGCCCAATATCTATCTACCTTTGGAACTAGTGCAGTTGAATAAGACAGTAACATCAAACTTCAATTTTTTTCCTTTTACATAATTGTATAAACTAGCCATTTCTATAACAACAGATCTACCTAATCGGTAAAACCCGAAATCAAAGTTTCCTTCTTTCTTTTTTTTTTTTTGCCACCTCAAGCACAAAGTCCAGAAGCGGTTTCCAAGGAGAAACAAAAGTAATTGTGGTTTTTTTCTTTAATCAAAGCATCAGCTTTTGCAACCGTTCATCCATGGTGGGGATCGAAGCGTCCTTCCATTTTTGTGCATGTAATAATCTTACTGCCGTCCACATATATAACATCCAAGTTCCAAAATATTTATATATATATATATAGATATATATATTCCATTAAACCCAAGGTTCCCGAAAAAAAGTTGAAGCTCGTGATGGCCGACAAGGATCTGTATAAAGCCTGTGCCGTGGAAGTGAAACGCCAGATCTGGCAAGATAACCAGGCTCTGTTTGGAGACGAGGTTTCCCCGTTGTTGAAGCAGTATATCCTGGAGAAGGAAAATGCTTTATTCAGTAACGACCTCTCGGTGCTGCAGAACTTCTTCAGCCCTTCCCCTAAGATGAGGCGGCAGGGAGAGGTAAGCAACAAGAAGGATGATCCAACGTGGTTATTGTAGGTAGCTGGGCCACAGAGGTGGGTGTCACATATTTTACAACCGGTTCGCTGTGCACCGAAAATGAATGCACGCACCTTCCATGCATGTCCACGGCCTTCTGTTGTGGTCCGCCAGCAGCCTGTGGAGCTGGCAGCGGAGCCGGATAGTGAGGAGGCTGGGGAGGAACATGGGCCAGTCCTGGAGTCTGGGGAAGGCCTGGACGAGGGCTCTGTGTCGGAGGCAGAGATGGGGCTGGGATCTGGGAGTTATGCAAGGACTCCGGAGCCTCCAGAGTCGGACATCAGAGAGGCAGAGGAACAGGAGGAGCCTGTTCCTAGTGCACACATGTGCAGAGCTGCCAAAAGGCAAGAACAGTTGAAACAAAAGGGACGACTCAGGAGTAAGACCTGGAGATGATTGGCCACTCCCATAAGGCTTAAAAGAGGAGCAAAGGCATGTGGGCCCTTTGCAGGAAAGCAATGTTGTTAATTCTGTTCCCAGTCGGCATCTCTGTTTAATTCTGGACTCCGTGTGGCTTTGCCAAGTAGGTCTTTGTCAGAGTGTCAAGGGAAATAAAGGTGGGCGATTATCCCGAAGGACTTCTCCCGAAGGACTTTTTGCAACTAATTGGGACTCAGCTGTGAATGAACGTAATTCACAGCTGTTGCAATAAAAGAGGTTTTTGGGACTATTTGTGTGTTTAATGACTCGGGAAGCCTAGGTCAGAACACCTTCCCCGCATGCTCTTTGCTCTCACGCGTGGCTTGCACGCTGACGGCTGGCTGCCTTCAATTTGGCATTTCGAATCTCACCAGGCCCAAGATTGACTTGGCTTTCCGTCCTTCCACGGTGGGTAAAACGAGGACCCAGATTGTTGGGGGCAAGAGGCTGACTCTGTAAACCGCTTAGAGAGGACTGTAAAAGCACTGTGAATTGAGATATAAGTCTTAAGTGCTATGGCTATTGCTATACATCTTCCATTTTTGTCAATGGGACAACATCTCAAAGAAATATCTCAAAGGATAACATCACACCGAGTTACGCTGCGTGGAATTTTCCATGTCAAGTTGTCCCACAGCCGGGCACGGCGAGTTGTCTTGTCATGAGGAAGCCACAGTGAGTTGGCTGGTGCTGGGTTGACCACATTTAGATGGCCGTGGCGAGTTGGCCATGAGAAGTTGGCCATGGTGAATTGTCCTCGACCCCACTCCAAACCTTTTTTTGTGTGTGTTTTAATTTATATGCTGCCCTTCTCCGGAGACTCAGGGCAGCTTACAATGCATTAAGCAATAGCCTTCATACTTCTGTATATTTATACAAAGTCATCTTATTGCCCCCACAATCTGGGTCCTCATTTCACCTACCTTTGAAAGGATGGAAGGCTGAGTCAACCTTGAGCCTTGGCGAGATTCGAACTTGCAGTAATTGCAAGCAGCAGATGTTAATAACAGTGCTTTAGTCCACTGTACTAACCAAGGCTCTAACCTTGCTCTGTCTTTGGGACCAGGTGGTTCAGAAGCTGACCCAGATGATCGGGAAGAACGTGAAGCTGTACGACATGGTCCTCCAATTCCTCCGGACTCTCTTCCTTCGGACACGGAATGTCCATTATTGCACATTAAGGGCGGAGCTCCTGATGTCCCTCCACGATCTGGACATCAGCGAGATCTGCACGGTGGACCCTTGCCACAAGGTACAAACCCAAGAAACAGTGGTTGTAGCCCTTCCGCGGCTATAGAGTTTTGTCGCTATCAAAACATCCCAGCTTGTTCGCATCCCAGCTTGTTCCCTAAGCGAGACTGCTGTGGCAGGCCACTCTAATCAGGCCACTCTAATCTAAATATCAACCTTATTTTCTCATTTTTACTTATTTGTATCCCGCCTTTCTTATTTTTTTACAAAGAATTCCAAGAGGCTGATATATCCAACATGAATTCCTCTTCCTATTTTCCATTCAACAACAATCCTGTGAGGTGGGTTGGGTTGAGAGAAAGAGTGGGACTCGCCCAAAGTCACCCCACTGGCTTTCCATGCCTAAGGTGGGACTAGAACTCACTGTCTCCTGGTAGTTGATCCTAAGTCGTTCAGACAACTTTCATGATTAACGTGAGACTAGAACTCACCATCTCCTGGTGATTGGCCCAAAGTCATCCAGTCAATTTCCATGATTGAGGCGGGTCTAGAACTCACTGCCTCCTGGTGATTGGCCCAAAGTCATACAGACAACTTTCATGCCTAAAATGGAACTAGAACTCACCGTCTCCTGGTGATTGGCCCAAAGTCACCCAACCAATTTTTATGCCTAAAACGGAACTAGAATTTACCGTCTCCTAGTGATTGGCCCAAAGTCATCCAGACAACTTTCATGCCTAAAATGGAACTAGCTTTCTAACCTCACCACTAGACCTCTAGAACTTCCCTTCCCAGGTGTCTGCATTCTTTCAGGCGCTGGTCAGCCTCTCCTCCTGGTTCGCGCTCTTATGTCAAAAATATTTTTTTAAAAAAAATATATATTTCTTTGCTCCCTTCCTTGGCAGTTTACTTGGTGCCTCGATGCTTGCATTCGTGAAAAGTTCGTCGACAACAAGCGGGCGCGGGAGCTGCAGGGTTTCCTCGACGGAGTGAAAAAAGGCCAAGAGCAAGTCTTGGGGTGAGTGTCAATGTATCTGGAGGCAGGCTGGGCTTTTCCTGCCGCGAAAAAATTCCTAGCATTAAAACTCCATTCATGAAACGTGATGTGTCAGCAGTGAGGAATCTGCCGCTGTGTTTCCTTTTGGGGGGCTTTGTTCTGAACTGCCTGGAGTTGAACTGGTGATGGACATTTTCTATGTTAGGCACGGATGCCTAAATAAACCCTGTTCTGTCCCCGTCCCCCCACACACACAAACAGCCAGCCGGGGTTTAAAGAAGTACTTGGCACACACAAGGTTCGTTATCAGGAACTTGGCAGCAATATGATAACCGTCTGCCAAGTGCTTTACTACAAGAAGAGGGAGTGTTCCTCCACCAGATAACACCAACTAAGACACACAGTTTTCAAAACAGTCCAGCTCAAACATGAAACCTTCAGCAGATTCAGGCGTTGTACAAAGTGACTAGCCAGAAGTTAGCTTTGTCCGTCACAGAGTCTAAATGGCCACCACACTCTCTTATATAGCCTGTGGGGTGTGGTCCAGTGACTCAGCTTAATCCCTGGCACGCCTCCTCATCTGCTGCAAACGTTTATCTCGCCTTCGTTGGCGTGGATCCAGGAACGACTTATCCCCCTCATCGCTGTCATCGGAGACACCTGGCTCCTGGTCAATCTCCTCTCCCTCGGCAGACACCTGAGGCATTGCCAGAGAGGAGGGGCCTGGAGAGGGAGGCCTGGCCGGCTCCTCTCCTTCATGTTCGGAGCCTTCTTCCTCCGATAAGATGGGCTCGGGGATCGGAGCCACAACAAACCCCAAATCCCCTTACATTCCTAGTCTGTATATATATCTTTATTCTAGCCAACTGGAACGGCACAAAACAGTACACCTTTCATTGAGCGACCTTGCAAAGTTACAACGGAGCTGAAAAAACAAGGGACTTACGGCCGTTTTTCACACTTAACGACCGTCGCAGCACCCCTGTGGTCCCGTAATCAAAATTCTGATGCTCTGTAACTGGTTCATACTTAACGACCGTTGCTGTGTCCCCTAAGGTCACACGATTCCCCTTTTGACAAGCAGAATCAACGGGAAAGCTGGATTCGCTTAAGAACCATGCTGCTAACCGAACAACTACAGTGATTCCCTTAACTAGGAAGCAGTGGTGAAATGCTCCTGGTTCGGACTGGATCGCCAGAAACGGTAGCGATGGTGGCGTGTGGTTCGGGGAAACGGTAGCAAAAATCCCTGCCCCCGCCCATGCCCAGCTGAGCCAAGCGATCATCAGAGGCTGTTTTTCTTTTTACTTTTAAAAGCATTTTTTGTACAACTTCTTCAGCCGAAAAAATGCTTTTAAAAGTTAAAAAAAAAAAGCCCCTGATGATCGCGCGGCTCAGCTGGGATCGTCAGAGGCTTTTAAAAGCAATTTTTTTCTACAACCTCTTCGGCCGAAGAGGTTGTAGGGGGGAAAAAATGCTTTTAAAAGCCTCTGACGATCCCAGCTGAGTTGCCTGACCGTCAGAGGCTTTTAAAAGCATTTCTTTTCTGCAACCTCTTCTGCCGTGATTCACTGAACCAGCGCGGCGGGGAAAGTCGTAAAATGGGGCAAAATTCAACTTAGCAACAAAAATGTTGAGCTCAATTGTGGTCGTAAGTTGAGGAGTACCTGTAGGTTGCCGCAAAGGTACATTGGGTTCTGTTTCTTCTCGCCTTCCCTAGGGACCTGTCGATGATCCTGTGTGATCCGTTTGCCATTAACACCTTGGCTTTGAGTACCATCCGGAATTTGCAGGAGCTGATTGGTCAGGAAGTGTTACCCAGGGTAAGTTGGGGCTGGACCTTTTGAATCCTAGAATCCTAGGGCCCTTCAGAGGTCATTAACAGATTAATACAGTTGGAAGGGGATCTTGTAGGTCATCTAGACAACCCCCCCCCTCCGCCCAAGCAGGAGACCCTACACCAGCGATGGCTATTGCGTGCCAAAAGCGGGGTGTGAGTGTTGGAAGGGTTGGAGGGTTGTGCGTGTGCCCAGACGCATAATTCTATGCACCCCACACTCCGCGCTTTTGGCACGTCATGTCATAGTGGGCCCGGTAGGGCCGTTTTTCACCCTCCCCAGGCTCCAGAGGCTTTCTAGAAGCCTGGGGAGGGTGAAAACAGCCTCCCCCCCCCCCCCGGAGGCCCTCCAGAGACCGGAAAGAGCCTGTTTCCCGACTTCCAGTGGGCCCAGAAGGCCTGAAAATCAGCTGGAGCTGAGCTCGCGTGCCCACCGATATGGCTCCACGTGCCACCTGTGGCACGCATGCCATAGGTTCGCCATCGCGGCCCTACGCTATTTCTGACAAATGTCAGTCCAATCTCTTCTTGAAACTTTCCAATGATAAAGCTCCCACAACTTCTGTTTCATTGGTTGATTGTCCCTGTAACCGTTCATTGCATATTTTAGCCTCCAGTCCCCTCATCATCTCTGGTTGCTCTTCTCTGCACTCTTTCTAGAGTCTCAATATCTTTTTTATAGTGTGGTGACCCAAACTGAAATGCAGTATTCTAAATGTGGTCCTTACTAGGGCTTTATAGAGTGGTATTAGTACCTCACTTGATCTTGATTGTATCCCTCAGTTAATGCAATTTAGGATTGTGTTGGCTTTTTTGGCTGCCGCTGCACACGACTGGCTTATTTATTTATTTATTTATTTATTTATTTATTGGTTCGATTTATATGCCGCCCTTCTCTGGAGACTCAGGGCGGCTTACAATGCGTTAAGCAATAGCCTTCATACTTTTGTATATACCTGCTTAGTAGGGCTTTTGCGTCCCCCCTAAGTGGTGTTCTTTTATATACAAAGTCAGCTTATTGCCCCCACAATCCGGGTCCTCATTTTATCTACCTCGGAAGGATGGAAGGCTGAGTCAACCTTGAGCCTGGTGAGATTTGAACTCGCAGTAATTGCAGGCAGCTGGCAGCTGAGTGCTACTTTAACAGCAGTTTAGTCCGCTGCGCCACCAAGGCTCCAAGATCCCTCTCACAGTCACTGCTCTTAAGCCTGGTTTCCCCCAGTCTATATGTCTACTTTTGGTTTTTCTTGCCTGAGTGTAAGACTTTACTTTTCTCTACATTGAATTTCATTTTGTGTAGATAGGGCCCAGTGTTCAAGTCTGTCAAGATCCATCTGGATCTTGAGCCTATCTTCTAGGGTGTTAGCTATTCCTGCCAGCTTAGTATTATCTGCAAATTTGGTGAGTTCTCCTTCTATTCCCTCATCTAAGTCGTTTATGAAGATACTGAAGAGTCCTGGGCCTAAGACAGAATCTCGTGGTATCCCGCTGCTTACTTCCCTCCTCTTCTAGTCCAAGACCAAGGCAGGAGATCTTATTCCACCCCAGCCGAATGGTTGTCCAAGCGAAGTGGATTTGCAACGTGCAAGTGGGGTTTTGAAGTGAAGATCTGAGAGCTGAACTCTACATTTCCTGATGGAGGGAAAGCTCAGAGCTCCTAAACATAACTGAAAGGACGTCTTCCCCCCCGGTAGAAAAAGGATTCTAATGGCCATTGCCAGACCCTCAAAAGCAGTGCTAGAAGAGACCAGCGGTGCCACAACTCAGAAAGTGGCGGACAAACAGGAGGGGTTTAGCATTTCTCACAATCTACTGGGGTGGTGAGGCAAGGCACCAAGTTCGCTAAGATGGTAATGGAGCAACTAGAAGCGAGGAACAGATCCAAAGAGCAGTCTTTGTGATGTCACGGTGCACATTTTGGCAATCATCGGGGTTTGTTCTGGATGCCGACGCGGCCGTAGTTTAATTTCCACTTGTTCGTTGAGCGCATAGATTTTAGCATCCGGAGAATTCACTTGGGGGTGCTTCCATGCTCCATGTTGTTGAATTTTCAGGAAAGCCTGGAGCTCTTGTTACTTCTGAGGATGCTGTCCCTGGGACAAGGAGCTTGGGATGTAATCGACAGCCAGATCTTCAAAGAACCCAAACTGGTAAGGGGTCAGCATGAACATTATCGCTTATGGCAGCGGTCCATAACCTTTCCAGCTGGGCACCTCGGCCCAGAGCACATGTGTGTGTGTGACAGGCGTGGGAGTGCAAGTGTCCTCACGTGAGTGGAGCTTCACACATATGCCCACTTGCCTGTCACTTCTTGTGGCCCGCCAGCAGATTTGGACATTGAGGAGGTTGGGGAGGAACATGGGCCAGTCCTGGAGTCTGGGGAAGGCTCTGATGAGGGCTCTGCGTCAGAGGCAGAGAGGAGGCCAGGGCCGTCTGACAGTTATCAGCTGCCTTCGGAGTCAGACATCGGTGAGGCAGACGAACAGCTGGAGCCTGTTCCCAATGTGCGCATGCGCAGAGTTGCCAGATGAAGGAAACAGCTAAAGAACAAGGGTCGACCTGGGAGTAAAGCCACAGGTGGACGATGATTGGCCTGTCCCAGAGGGAATAAAGAGAAGCGAAGGGGAGGGGAGTTTGCAGGAGACAATTAGTTCATTCCTGCATTCTTGGTGTCTGAAAGATATCGGCGTGGCCACTCTCCAAGCCTGATCAAGGTCGGTAATTGTGAACTATCTTGAAAGACTGTGGGAGAGGAAAGACTTTGCTGGAGAGGAATTCACTGTAAATTAAATAAAAGGGGTTTATCGGGACGAGGGCTTCGTGCTGCTGAGGAAGCCTAGGTGAGAACACCACTCAACAAGTGCCGCGGCCTTGTAAGGGTTGGGGACCTCTGGCTTATGGTCTTGAATGTCCGATTCTCACTAGCAGTTAAGGATAATGTTAGGTGAACCTCCTCCGCTGCCTTTCTGTATCCCAGGAAGTGGATTTGATCACCAAATTTCTGCCCATGCTGATGGCCTTCGTGGTGGACGACTACACCTTCACCGTGGATCAGAAGCTGCCTGCGGAAGAGAAAGCGCCAGCGTCTTACCCCAGCGCCATCCCTGAGATGTTTCCAAAGTAAGTCATTTCAGCTCGGGAGCCTTTGCCCGTCAGTCAAAACCTTCCGGTCGGCAGGGCTGAAGAAGGTGGGCTTCAGAGACCGAAGCCAAAATGTAGGTAGTCCTCGACTTCTCGACAACTGGGTCCAGAACGCCCGTTGTTAATAAGGAAGGCTGCTGTTCACCCACCAGGCCTCACTGAGAATTGTGAGTTACAAAAAAAATCATTAAGTGGTAAGGCACCTGACTAGAAAGCAGGAGACAGTGAGTTCTAGTCCCGCCTTAGGCATGAAAGACAGCTGTGTGACTTTGGGCCAATCAACAGGAGACAGTGAGTTCTAGTATCACCTCAGTCATGAAAGCTAGCTGGGTGACTTTGGACCAATCACCAGGAGACTGAATTCTAGTTCCACCTCAGTCATGAAACCTAGCTGGATGACTTTGGACCAATCACCAGGAGACTGAATTCTAGTTCCACCTTAGGCATGAAAGTGGGCTGGGTGACATTGGACCAAACAACAGGAGACTATGAATTCTAGTTCTGCCTTAGGCATGAAAGTGGGCTGGGTGACTTTGGACCAATCACCCGGAGACCGAATTCTAGTCCCACTTTAATCATGAAAGGGGCTGGGTGACTGGGCCAGCCCCTTTCTCTCAGCCCAACCCACCTCACAAGGATGTTATTGTCGAAAATGTAGGAGAAGGATATCTCCTACACTTGTGTGTTGGATATCGTTATCACCTTGAGATATTGATTAAAATAATAAAGGTGTGGTAGAAAATGAATGAATGAATGAATGAGCGAGCAAGGGAATGAGTGAACGGACAAAGAAGTGAACAAACACAGCAGCTGAAACTCTTCCTTTTATGCGTGTCCCAGATTTCTGCAAGAGCAGCGGATCGCTTGTGAGATCGGCCTTTACTACGTGCTTCACATCACCAAGCAAAGGAACAAGAACGCATTGCTTCGCTTGGTCCCCACCCTGAGTAAGCCCCCTTACTGAGCAGGGGTCAGCAACCTGCAGCTCTGGAGCCGCATGTGGCTCTTTCACACCTCTGCTGCGGCTCCCTGTCACTCAAATTACGCGTCACAACCGCCAATGTGTGACACCCACCGATACGCGATTTATTGAGCTTTTCAACCCCCGGTAGGCCAACCATGGATAAATCCAAGAAAAGAAAAGTTTCAGAAGAAAACAACGTTTAATTCAACTACATATGCTAGTTTTGTGGCCGCTCGAGAAATAGTCAGGCACGGGAAGGGTTTTTGTGGCTCCCGGTGTTTTTTTTTTCTGTGGGAAACGGGTCCAAATGGCTCTTTGAGTGTTTGAGATTGCAGATCCCTGCTTTAGAGAGGGGGAGGGAGAAAGTGGTCCTCTCCCCCCTCTTCTCAAAGTCACCCTAAGTATCTCTCTGGGCCTTTTGTAGCAGAGACTTTTAACGACCTGGCCTTTGGTGACATTTTCCTGCACCTGTTCACCGGCAACCTCACCTTGCTGGCTGACGAATTTGGGCAAGACGATTTCTGCGCTGTCCTTTTCGACCGCTTCTTCCTGACGGCCTGCCCCAGGTAACACTCACCTCCTTTCCCAGAAGGTGACAGCGGAAGTGTTTCTTGCGCTTATATTCTATGCTCCCTCGGGAATTTCCTCGGGAAAAAGAAGGAAGAAAAAGGATGGGGAAGGGAAGGGAAAATGGAAGAGAAGGAAAGGAAGAACAAAAAAGGAGAGGGAAGGGAAGGGAAGGAGGAACGAAAAAGGAGAGGGGAGGAGAGGGTTGCCACTCGTTCTAAGACAGGTAGTTAGAGCTACCGATTGGGAGAAGCTGCTGGGCTTCCAAACTGAGCCACCAACAGTCTTCTTTCAACCCCGTTCCAGGAAGGACAACGTCCACCGGCACCTGCTGAGGATGCTTCTTCACCTCCATCACAAAGTGGTCCCCGCCAAGCTGGAGTCGCTGCAGAAATCCTTGGAACCCACCAAGCAGGTAGAAGAGTGCAAGGGAGGGGGAGGGCAAAGAGAAGATTCTCTGCATCTTCCATGCAAGAGTTCCATCGGGGACAGAGGGGTTTTTTGGAAGGGGGGGGTTCAGTGGAAGTGGTAGGGACGAGACATAACCTTTGGGGCACCCCCTTCCTCTGCCCACAACTCTTGGTGCTGGCAGACATGTAAAACGGTGGACACCTGCGAAACGCCATCAGGCCTACAGGTAGTCCTCGACTTAACGACCGCAGTTGGGAATGGAGCTTCCGTCGCCAAACGGGGCAGTTGTTGAGCGAGCTTCTGTCAGGTTTCACAACCTTCCCGCTGTGATTGTTAGGATTCCCTCCCTGATTTTTGTTTGTTGGAAATTCCTGGGCAATCCCATGACCCCAGGACGTAGGCAACCATCCTAAATAAAGATGCCAACCTGAATTTCGAGTGTGGGAACGTGGTGACGGTTGTACAGACAGCCCTCGACGTAACAACCATTCGTTTAGCGACCGTTCAAAAGTTACAACAGCGCTGGGGGAGGGGGGGAGTATAAGTATAAGTATAATTTTATTTCTGTACCGCCCTTCTCCCGAAGGACTCAGGGCGGTGTACAGCCTATTTAAAAACACAAGACAAACATCAATTTAAAATTTAAAATTATTAAATAAATTCGGCTCAATTTAAAACCCCAGACTTAGGATCTTAGCATCCCCACAGTCGTGTGATCAAAATTCAGCCGCTCGGCAACTGACTCGTATTTATGACAATTGTCAGGTGATTATTGTGGCCCGCCAGCGGAGCTGGTGGCAGACTCAGACAGTGAGGAGATTGGGGAGGAACATGGGCCAGTCCTGGAGTCTAGAGAAGGCTCTGATGAGGGCTCTATGTCAGAGGCAGAGATGGGGCCAGGGCCATCTGACAGTTGTCAGCTGCCTTCGGAATCGGACATCAGTGAGACAGAAGAACAGCTGGAGCCTGTTCCCAATGTGCAGAATTGCCAGATGAAGGGAACAGCTAAAGAACAAGGGTCGACTCAGGAGTAAGGCCACAGGTGGATGATAAATGGCCTCTCCCAGAGGGAATAAAGAGGAGCAAAAGGGGAGGGGAGTTTGCAGGAGACAATTAGTTCGCTTAACTGGTTCGTGACTCTCCGAGACTCCTTGCCAAGTTTTGAAGATATCGGCCTGGCAGCTCCCCAAGCCAGATAAGGTCTGTGACTGTAAATTCTCCCTTGAAAGACTTTGCTGGATACGAATGAGAGGAATTCACAGCAACTTAATAAAAAGGGTGGAGGGGGGTTGTCGGGACAAGGAGTCTGCTTCATGCTCTTGGGAAGCCTAGGTCAGAACAGGGATCAAGTGGGGAGAGCCCGATTCGGTTAATGACCGGGTTACTAAATTAATAACAGCAGCGATTCGCTTAATGACCCTGGCAAGAAAGGTCGTAAAGTGAGGCAGAACTCCCTTAACACCCGTCTGGCTTAACCCCAGGAATTTGGGGCTCAGTTGTGGTCACGATTCGAGGACTGGCTGTATCTCCGGGGCAGCCATTTACCATAATTTAAATCTTCTCCTTGGCACAGAGCAGCGAAGCGGTGAAAGAGCTTTTCAACCAGCTGGGCGAGAAACTGGAAGTCCGCAAAGCCAGCCCTGTCCCAGAAGCCGAGGCACCACCGATGGATTTGCCCCTCCCGACAGTATCTTCTACCCCGGTTCCACCATAGATAGCCTCCCCTCCCCTCTCCCCTCATTCCTTCTGGGGAATGAGCCAGGGTCTTTCCTGGCCTTGGGCACAGAGGTGGGGCATCGGTTGGTGCAGAAATCACCTGGGCGACCTTGAACAAAGCTTCTCAGCTGCCCGCTTAGGGTCTCATCTAATGGTGTAGGTGCCTCCCCTAGAAGTGGGGAGGGGGCTGCACAATTAAGGGTAAGGTTGGGGGTGTTTTTTTTTGAAGGGGAAGATCATTTAGGGCAGGGGTCTCTCCAACCTTGGCGGCTTTTAAAACTTTTGGGGACTTCCAACTCCCAGAATTCCTCAGCCAGCCAGCCGGTTGAAGTCCACAAGTTTTCAAATTGCCACGTTTGGGGACCCCTGATTTAGGCTGTCTGGATAATAGCCCTGGAAGGGGCAGGGCAAGTTTAAATCCAGATGTTATTTTTGAAAAAAAAACAAAAAAAAATTGTGTGTGTAGGAAACGCACTAAAGGAATGATAAAAGTTGGGAATAATTTGTTCGTGCTTTTTTTTTTTTCTTTTCCCCCCCCTAGTGTAGGAAAAATAAACTTTCCAAGCTCTGCCTCTGGTTTGGCATTTTGTTTTGTTTTTTGTTTTCTTCCTTTTTTGTTGTGGTTGATTTACTCCCCATAACAAGAGCCTTGGTAGTACAGGGGTTTAAGGCACCCTGTTATTAAGCTGGTTATTAAGACCAGCTGCCTGCAATTACTGCAGGGTTCGAATCTCGCCAAGGCTCAAGGTTGACTCAGCCTTCCATCCTTTCTAAGGTAGGTAAATTGAGGACCCAGTTGTGGGGGCAATAAGCTGACTTTGTATAAATATACAAAAGGATGAAGGCAATTGCTGAGCACATTGTAAGCCGTCCTGAGTCTCCGGAGAAGGGCGGCATATAAATCAAATTAAAAACAAAAAAATAAATAACTGGATCGCTTGGAGGTACCGTATTTTTCGGAGTGTAAGACGCACCTACCTTTTTTGGTGAGGAAAAGAAGAAAAAGAAATCTGCCTCTGAGCAATTTTGCCTCTTGCAAAAATATAATAATAAAGTGGCACGTGGAGCCATATCGCCTGGCATGCGCGGCTTCCCCCCGTTCCTCTTCCGAGTTTTTGGCGTGCATGCGTGGGCGACGATCAGCTGGCCTTTTTGCATGCGGCAGTGCTGGAAGCTAGAAAATCTAGCTGGACTTCAGTTTTCCTGCGTGAGCATGCGCGCCAGAAACCCGGGAGAGTAGCTGGCTGAAACCGGAAGTCCAGTAGCTGAAACCAGAAGCTCATTTTTGGCACGCGCGTGCGCCCCGGGTTGTGGCCCAGACGTGCGTGCGCACACTCCCTTTTCGGGACTTGGTGCCGAAAAGGTTCGCCATCCGTACTTTAGACGCTTCCGTTCTTCCCGGATTGTGTTCGCAATAAGGACCAAGAAGGCTTCCCAAACTGCACAGACAAGGAAAGAAACTGGGTCGGCTTCAGGATGCTGAAAGCTTTAATGTCTCCAAACCAAGCCCAAGACGGAGCCCGAAGAGACCCTGGAGAGCACTCATCTGCACGGAGAGTCCTAAAGTCCACCCCAGAGTCTTAATTTCCAGCAAAAGAAGCTATTATCAGCAATTTCTCTCTCTCCCCCCCCCCCTTTTTTTTTTTTTCCCCCTTTTTTTTCTTTAGCAACCCAACGTCCTCTGCTACAGTCTTCTCCAACCAGCAAACCTCCAGAGCTGAGGGACTCCGGGTTTTAAAACTCCATAGGGAAGGGCATTTTTTTCCAACAGGAGCCCTCCACTCGCCTGTGGGAAAGTAGCTTTTTTTCCAACCTGCACTCTGGGCAGCTTAGCATGCATTACCAGGGAAGACAAAGAGCCAATTCTTTCCCCTTTTTTAAAAAAAAATAGCGTTGCGGAATAAACTCTTCCTCTTTTTTGGGGAGGGGGGGTCATTCCGTTGCATTGGATCCAGGTTCGAGGTCTCCAGCGTCCCCCACTTTGACATCTCTCTCTGGCTCGGCTCGATCCGGTTCGTCGGCACCCGTATTGGACGTTTCGTCTTTTGGGCTGGTGCCGGAGGCCGCTGAAAAGGAACTTGATCCCAGTTCGCCCTGGGAACCGTTTATCGGAATCCCCTCGGCCACATTTTTCTCGGCTAGGAACTGGGTCACGGTTTTCCACCCCAGGGGAGTGCCTTTGGCACTTAGGTTTTCGCTGGAGAGATACCGGCTGACGGTCGGGATGATGATGGCGCTCTTGGTTTGAGGGATACCGTCCGTGTCGACCCCAGGCCTGTTGAGGTCTCCCCTTCCTTTCCCGGCCAGCTTCACGTTTGGGTTTCTTTTCCTGGCAAGCATCTGATCGGTAGCTTTCTCGTGGTGTTCCTTGGCTGACACAGGCCTCAACCTGGGGGAATTCCTCAAAGGAGCCGGGAACCCCCTGAGTTTGCTCCACGCTTCTACGGGTGGCTGCTGTTCGACCCGGTCTTCCCTCTTTGCCGAACGGCGCTTCGATCTCTGGAAAGCTTCAGTTAAGGGCCCCGTTTTTTCAGAGACGGGGTTATGTTGCAGGTGAGGGAAGTAAGAGTTCACCGTCGGGGCGGAGGGGGTGTTTCGAGTGGGCCCGAGGTCGTTTTCGTTCACCAGGACGAGTTTGTTGATCTTGTAGGTCAGGCTTCTCAGAGCCTGAGTCGGATTCTTTCTCAAAAAGTCATTACCGACCGGGCAGTTGGCATCTGGGGTGGCATTTCCCCTGGGTGCGAAAGAAGGGCAGAGGGGTGGGGGTAGAGAAAAATTGCGAGAAAGAAAGCTGCTAGTCGCCGTCAACGAAGGCGGGATTTGGGTCCCCTGCTTTTTGAAGTCGCCAGTGTAAAAAAGAACGTATCAGAAGTTGAGCTTGGTGATTTTCTTGCAGATGTTTTATCGCCCAACTAGGTAACATCATCAGTCCAGAGGGGAATGCAAGAAGCCCCACTCCTTTCAAGCACTGATGGCGTTCCCTAGTTGGGTAATGAAACGCCTGCAAGAAAACCACCAAGCTCAGAGAGAGCACTAAGGGCCCCACATTTCAACCCTGAGCTACAAATATTCTCCTTTATTGGTGAGCAAGTTAGACTTCTCATCACGCATTGCAAGATGGAGGATCATGACTTTGGCACGGAATTTTTATATCGAAGAATAACTCCCCTACGTTAAATGTCTACGGAGAGTCTCAAATCATCCAGGTCATGGGTTGTCCCAAAGGTGTTTTTTTCCTTCAAGAGGCAAACTGGATTTTCTTTGAAGACATTTCGCTTCTCATCCAAGAAGCTTCTTCAGCTCAGAAGAAGAAGCTTGGAGAGCTGAAGAAGCTTCTTGGATGAGAAGCGAAACGTCTTCAAAGAAAAACCAGAAAGTCCAGTTGCCTCTTGAAAAAAGCACCTTTGGGTCCCCTACATTAAATGTATGCAATTCTGCCCTCTACAAACCCCATTGGGAAAGAAAAGGGCTTGGAGAAGGCAACGTTGTCCAAAGTCAACCTTGGGCTCCAGGTTAGAGATGTAGAACCTCACGGGTCTGAATTTGTCTATCACATGACACCCATACACACCTTCCTTGCCTACCACGTGACACCCATACCGGGGTGGGCTGCTGGGGGTTCAGGAGAATCTCTAGCTAAGATTCTGTGCAGTTTGGAGAACCCCCAAATCTCACTCCTGATTGGCCCCGCCCACCTCACCCCTCCCAGGAGTCCCTATGTGGCCCATTTTGGATGCAGGGTGCGTGCAGAGGCTTAGGGAGGGGGCGAAAAACGGGCCTACTGGAAGCTTGGGAAGGCTGGAAACTGGCATGTTTCCAGCCTCCAGAGGGCCTCTGGAGCCTGGGGAGGCCCTTTTCGCCCTCCCGGAGGTTTGAGAAAAGCCTCTGGAGCCTGGGGAGAGCAAAAACGCCCCCTCTGTGGTGCAGGAGGCTGACTAGGCCACGCCCACCATGGCCACGCCCACCCGGCAACCAGGCAGAGAACCCCTTACATAAAATTTTTGAAGCCAAACCCTGACCCATATTTGTAGAATAAAACCCACACCTACCCTGTTTCCCCCCAAATAAGACATCCCCGATAATAAGCCCAATCGGGCTTTTGAGCACATGGCAATAAGGCCAAGCGCTTATTTCAGGGTTCAAATATATATATATAAAACAGGGTCTTATCTTCGGGGAAACATGGTATGAATCTTAGGTCAGCTGACAGCTGGACTTGAACTCCCAAGATTCCTCCGCCAGCCTGGGGAATTCTGGAAGTTGAAGTCCACAGGTCTTTAAAAACGGCCACCGTTGAGAAACTGATCTAGGCAGTGGTGTTTGAGGGAGACAGGTCCTGGATACACCAGTGAGGAGAAACACCAGAGAAGCTTCTCACAATCTCAAGCTTAAGGGACCATGGTTAGACAACACCCCCCAGGTGCTGTAGGAGCCGATACCTTTGGGATTTGCGTATGTCCCACTGATGGTGAGGCATCCAGCACGACAGCTGAGTGGACCTCGGCGGCTTCGGTTCTACCTTCGCCTGGTAGATGGAGCGCAAGTTCTGCTTTGTATTTTCTTGGAGGGAGTGAAAATTCGATTTTCCTGAGGAGCAAGGAGAAGAGAAATCTGCAAGATTGGGCCACGGTCCGATGTTTGACTTTCCTACGTCTCTTTCTGACCGGTTTGATCCCTTCCTGCCTTTCGCAGGGAGAAGGCGCAACCGGTACGCAAAGAGTTCCTTGTTCCCCCAGCCCGAATTCACCCACCGTTCTTGTTAATGTTAGCCAGCCTGGTTTAGCTACGTTAAGGTGGAAGGTCTAGAGGTCTACAGCCATCAAAAGGACAACAGAAGGAACAATAAACAGAAGGTCTAGGAGGTCTACAGCCGTCAAAGGACAACAGAAGGACAATAAAGGAACATTATGGGACGAGTGACAACTCCGTTAAACTGAATTTGGAGGCCACCAAGAACGGTTCTTTTCAGAGAGGAAGAAAGCAAGACAATCTTAAGAAATAGTTCAGCGGTTTTCTTCGACGTACCTGGGTATACAAACTGGAATTCGGAGACGGTTTGGTACTTCCTCTTCTCCACAACGTTGGGGTATTTTATTTTTCTGTTCAGGAAGACAGAAGGCAGATTGGTTTCCGAATCAGTTGTCCCCTCCATTTAACGCACACTCCTCGCATCTTACGTCGTCCTTGGTTGCTTCTTGGTGATGGGCCGATGGAGCCTTCCTATCCCATTTCTGTTGTGCCACAATCTAGACAACTTTTGGTGGCTTACATAAAGTATAAAAGTCAAAAGGAGTTTGGTAGCACCTTTCTCCAGCTGACCAGTTTTCTTAAAAGGCCTAATAATGTATTAATTTCCCTCCCCACCAACATAGACTAAGCGTTCATTGCCTATAAAACATGGGAGTTTCTTAATGATCTGTCTGCATTTTATTTGTCTGTCTATGTCTATCCATTCACCTCTTTCCATTTTCTCTCCATCTATCATCTCTCTATTCTTCCTTCCTTCCTTCCTTTTGTTCTTTTCTTTCTTCCCCTCCTCTCTTTTCTTTCCTTCCTTCCCTCTTCCCTTTTCTCCACCCCTCCTTCCTTCCTTCCCTTTCTTTTGTTCTTTCTTTTCTCTTTTCTTCCCTCCTCCCTTTTCCTTCCTTCCTTTCCCTCTTCCTTCCTTCCTTTTCTTTCTTTCTCTTTTTCTCCCTCTTTCTCTCTCTCTCTCCTCTCTCCCTCCCTCCCTCCTTCCTTTCCTTTCTTTTTATCCCTCCCTTTTTCTTTCTCTCTCTCTCTTCCCTTCCTTCCTTCCTTCCTTCCTTCCTTCCTTCCTTCCTTTCTTTTTCTCAAAAATGTGGTAGATGCTGCCACCTAGATGCAGCTGGGCATTTTAAATAGAGACAGGTTGGCTAGGAAACTTAATTCTTTCAGTAAGCCGATGGAAAAAAAATGGCTAGCTTTTTCTAGACATGATATTACTTTTTGTTCTCTCTGCTGTTGCTAACATCTTTAGGTTTTTCTGATGGCTCTGTTCTCTCTTTCCTGAGCGTTATCCTTTTCTTTTCGGTTCCCAGCTTGGCATTATGGGTCTCTCCCTGCATTATGAAAAAAAAAAAAAAATTTAAAAGAGTGGTACAGGAGTACTATATGAGCTACATCTGCTTCAATATTCTTCAATAACCATGGTTACCTAGGAATTGGATGCTAGCTCCACCTCGCACTGAGCAAGGATACTGCTTAAAGGGATACTGAAATAGCGACACATTGCCCAGGTTCCTGCCCCACTCACCAAGTTGTCTGTCTCCGAAGATGCGTTTCCCGTGTCCTCATTGCTGCAACACAACTCGGTGGGACTCTCTTGGCCTTCTGATGGCAAGCTGGGTGAGAAAAGCCCGACAACATTTCAGAAATGTCACGTCGACTCAAACCAAAAGTCGATCACCACCTCCTGGCCCGCAGTTCAAGCCACGCGTTCTCAAAGCATGTCCTTCAAAAGATCTCCAGAGGTTTAGGAAGCCTGCAACATCAGGAGTGGTATATAGTCTAACAAGCTATCCTCTTCTTTTAATGACTCCATAATCCCTTGCAGGGTGGAGTCTGGGTAACTGAATGGAGCTGAGTGTTTGAATGGCCGATGCCCTTCCTGTCACCAATGCGGAGTTTTGTTCGGCAGATATATTCACATTGTGCTCAGAGAGAGAAATATCTGCCTAAGGATCGAACTCACAGCCTCCTCATTGTGAGGCGAGAGCTCCACCTCTAGGCCACAGCACCACTCATAGTCTAACAAGCTATGCCACGTGAAATTGCCGAGCTTCAGCTTTGCGCTACTTTCACAGCTGCCTGACTTTCTCTCCGCTTCCTAAGGGAAGGAATGTAAGCTATGAATCAGCTTCCAGCTTAAATCTCACCTCTGCCAATAGTTCACACAGGTGTGTAAACCTTTGTGACTCAACCACAGTCTTCTGCAGCAATGCAAGGGCTAATACTATGGAAGCTGAATAGCTGATGGAAATAAAATTTATTCATACGCGTCCCCAAGATTATATGCCAGGCACTGAACCTTTCAGATAATCCCAAAATTCAGATATGGATCAGAGTAACTCGGTATGAATGGGCAACCCTGGACCTATTTAAATCAAGCCTGATGGGTCATCTGTTCAAAAACCACTGACCCTACATTCAGAACTGAACAAAACATACATCCTGTCAAATTGCAAAGCATCCCTGGCCTGCATTCGAGTTGCCATAAGCAAGGGAGGATGGGAAACCAACGAAGCAACATGGCAGCCAAAGACAGGAGCGCATTCCAGATATATCTTTCTCAAGGCTGTCTCCCAGGGTTACCCACAGCGGCCGGAGGGGAGTGATCTCTACAACCGCAAAATGTGATCGATGACACACTTTGGGGTGGGGTGGGAAATAGGGTCATGAATGGGGCCGTTAATTACTTGGGGTCAGAGTTGGCTTCACTTGGGAATGTGCCAACATGAAGCTCCTAATAAATAACTGGATTTCTTTTGAAGCTTGGCTCAAGGCTCATGATTTAATTAGGGCATCCGTCAGAACCCTGACATATCCCTTCTAATAATAATCAGGTAAAAACATAATTAATTGCTTTTATGCATCCAAATAATACACATCAACAAGGAAGAACCAGGGAATTATAGACCCCAGAAACTTCTCATGGGATTTTATGTCTTGTGATTCTAACTACAAACGGGTCAGGATTAGGGTTAGGCTTAGGGTTACAGTTAGATGAGCCTCGTTCATACGATCAACAAGCTTCTAAGTAGCTAAATACTGGGTTGAGTGTTTTGGTTTTGAAGTTTGGATCCTCTCCTGATGAGGACACAGCATTATTCTCCTCCTGATGAACTTCAAGTTCATCCTCACGAGGAGGAGACTGTGTTATTTGAGGGCCCAGAAGTTCCTTCAGGGTGGATGGAGCTGACTACACCCAACATGAGATTCCCTGTATAAACATCTATGGAGATTCTCAGTCCTCCAGGTGCAATCTTGAAGGGCTGAAGAAGTTGCTTCTGGAAAAAGGACCTTTGGGACAACCATGACCTGGAGGACTGAGAATCTCCATAGACATTTAGCTACGCCAGAGCTGAAGAAGCTTCTTGGATGAGAAGCGAAATGTTTTCAGAGAAAGGCCAGTTGCCTCTTGAAAAAGCATCTTTGGGATCCCTATTTAAGCCTTAAGAGTATTGGGGAGACAATCTTCTGCTGCTTTTCCAAAAATCCGTTGGACCTTCTTCAAGGTCCTGGCCTCCCTTGCGAACTTCAGCCTCACCCTTTGGAGTCAAGACTATGAATGGAACAGCTCCTGCCGTGCACAGTGAGATGGGGCCGCTGGGATTTACTCCTCTTTTTCTTGCTACGCTTCTTCTTCTTCTGTCGAGGCTGCTTAATGATCTGGGCTGAGTTGGGCTCCACGGTGGTGGGTTTCTTGTCCTTCATCAGGGCAATCTTGGACGGACTTCTTTGCCGTGTCTTGGTTCCCATGGGCCTGTTGACACAAGGGGAGGAAGGAATGAACCGAGTTTTGAGATTTTTGATGGCCCTTCTGATGCCAACGTACTTCACCTGAAGCAGAGCTCCTCAGGTGGAGCAGCCTTAGGAACTGCTGATGAAGGTTGGTGGGAGTCACTGTGTAGGGGAACAATTCCTGCTCCTACCACCAGATTACCTGGACGCATCATTTCTGCAATAGTGATAGCCTTTAGACTTATATACCGCTTCACAGTGCTTTACAGCCCTCTCTAAGCTGTTTACGGAGACAGCCTCTTGCCCCCAACAAACTGGGTCCTCATTTCACCGACCTCTAAAGGACAGAAGGCTGAGTCAACCTTGAGCTGGTCAGGATCAAACTCCTGGCAGTGAGCAGAGTTAGCCTGCAATTTTACATTCTAACCACTGCGCACCAAGGAAGGAAGGAAGGAGCAAGAAGTTAAGGAAGGAAGGAAGGAAGGACGAACGGAAGGAAGGAAGAGGTGGAGAGGAAGGAAGGAGTAAGAAAGTAAGTGAAGGAAAGAAGGAAGGAAAGAAGGAAGAGAAGAGAAAAGAGAGAGCATTAGCTGTAGCATTATATACCACTTCACAGTGCTTTACAGCCCTCTCTAAGCTGTTTACGGAGTCAGCCTCTTACCCCCAACAAACTGGGTCCTCATTTCACCAACCTCAGAAGAACAGAAGGCTGAGTCAATCTTGAGCCAGTCAGGATTGAACTCCTGGCAGTGAGCAGAGTTAGCCTGCAATATTACATTCTAACTACTGCACACCATGGAAGGAAGGAAGGTAGGAGGGAAGGAAGGAAGGGGTGGAGAGGAAGGAAGGAGTAAGAAAGTAAGTGAAGGAAAGAAGGAAGGAAAGAAGGACGGAAAGGAGGAAGAGAAGGAGAAAAGGAAGAGCAATAGCAACAACACTTAGACATACATACCACTTCACAGTGCTTTTACTGCTCTCTCTAAGCAGGTTACAGAGTCAGCCTCTTGCCCCCAACAATCTGGGTCCTCATTTTACCGACCTCAGAAGGAGGGAAGGCTGAGTCAACTTTGAGCCTGGTGAGATTCGATCTGCCAAATTGCAGGCAGCCGGCAGTCAGCAGAAGTAGCCTGCAGTACTGCATTCTAACCACTGCGCCACCGCAGCTCACAAACCTTTGAAGGTTTGGAGAACACCAAGCCAGGGTGGGCTAAATGAACAGCTCTTCCACGGTTGCCCCTTCACCTCACTCTAATAAAGTCTTGGTTGTAGCTGAATGCGCTACTCTGTCGCCAACACGGAAGCCAAACTCGATTTTTGCTAATCTGATTGTAGTTCTGATTGTGGAAATCCTAGGTGGAGTGAAATTGCATGGTTCATCAGAATCGGGGAAGTATTGTGGCTTGCTCTACCTTTGCAGGTCCTTTAAAACTTGATTAGGATGAAGAGGAAGAACTGATTTTCATCCTCCGTTGAGTTACAATCTTGATCCAAAGTTGAGTAAGACCGAAATTGTGCCCACCCTTTAGCATTTCTCCTAGCCTTCCGCGGTGCTGTTGCAGCTACTTATCCAGAGTTAAATTTTACATACATTGGGTGAAAAGGCTTTGTGAAATTGTGTGTTGGCTCCTGAGTTCATTAGATAACACCCCTTCGATCGGTGTTATCTAAAATTGAATTATTCTGCTTTCCTGCTCCCCAACATAAAAATTCTGTATAAATTGGATTTACTTTTGGCAAAACCAGGATTCTCAAACCATTGTAGGTTGACTCAACCTCAATGGCCGGATTGACAGCACTCTAACCCCAAGCCCATCAATTCATTTAAAATAGAGGTGAAATGATCATCCCCGATCTTAAAGAAATCTCTTAAGATCCCATCATCGAATCCTTTCACGTCGTATCTTGAAAAGGCACCCAACGCTTATCATAAGATGAACAGACGGACACCCAAAGATGAAATCTCCATAAACTGAGAGGAACAAGAGTTTTTGTGAAGATGCGAAGTAGGGAAATGTCGGATACAGACGCGCAACTTACTTGTGATTTATTGTTGGTTTCGCAGCCGAGGCACAACGAGACGTTTAACAACAACAAGAGCAAAAACCTTGGGTAAAATAGGTCCATGGGGAAAAGCATTGGGCGCTCGAGATCCAAAGATGGGCTATAAGGTAAAGCTGTCTCTGGATCTCAGCAACTGCCTCTGTTGCTATGGAAACAGGATTCCACCATCCTGCCTGGTCCTCTCTTTGGTTTTCGCATCTATGTAGGTTTTCTAACTATGTACCGCTCAGGTATCTTCTGGTTCTTTTGAAACAGAGAAGGAAAGGCAGTCCCAAACAGATAAGGAAGCAGCCAACATATAAAGAAACAGCAATTTACTTTGACAGGGACTCTGGTACATATGAAAAATGATCCAATTTGGGTTTGTTTATAGAATGCTTCTTTAAAAAAAATAAGTGAGAATTAAGAAACCAGTTCACTGTGGGGTTTTTTTTAAAGGAGCCTTAATTAATTAATTAATTAATTAATTAATTAATTAATTAATTAATTAATGGACGCAGTAGTTCAGCAGCTAAGACGCTGAACTTGTCAATCGAAAGGTTGGTAGTTCAGTGGTTCGAATCCCTGGTGCCGTGTAATGGGGTGAGCTCCCATTCCTTGTCCCAGCTTCTGCCAACCTAGCAGTTCGAAAGCATGTAAAAAATGCAGGTAGAAAAAAATAGGGACCACCTTTGGTGGGAAAGGAACAGCGTTCCGTGCGCCTTTGGCGTTGAGTCATGCCGGCCACATGACCACGGAGACGCCTTCGGACAGCGCTGGCTCTTCAGCTTTGAAATGGAGATGAGCACCGCCCCCTAGAGTTGGGAACACTTAGCACATATGTGCGAGGGGAACCTTTGCCTAATTTATTAGAGGATGACCCTTTAAGTCAACTTGATATCTGATGAGGTTACGTCTATATTGTTTGCTAAGTTGGCAAGATGGAAGTGATTTGTCATTGATTTCTTTTGGCCTGTGTATTTTATTTCATTCTTACTTGAAATTATTATTTTGTTCTTTATTCTTGGGGGTGGTTTAGATAACTGACTGACTCAATGTTTTGGGCAAGTCCCTGCAGATGGATTTATTTCGTAACCCATTAACCTTCCTTGAATTCAGCGCAGTAAGGCGATAAAACTTCAGCGCAAAACCGGAAGGTTTTCTGCTTTCCGCAGGGAGTTGGACTAGAAGACTTCCGAGCTCCCTTTCAGCTCTATGCTTCTATGTTCTAAATGTTCTTTGTTTCCAGAGAACAAATGCAGAGTCAAACTTGAGCCTACTGTAAATGATTTTTAACTAAAAAGAGAAAAAAAATTCCCATTCTTTGCCATGAAGACTGCCACTGGAACAGAACAGAATAACAGAACTGGAAGGGACTTTGGAGGTCTTCTAGTCCAACCCCCCGCTCAGACAGAAAACCCTATAGCATCTCAAACAAATGGCTGCCCAATCTCTTCTTTAAAAAACTCCAGTGAAGAAGCATTCACAACTGCTGAAGGCAAGCCCTTCCACTGATTAATTGTTCTAACTGTCAGGAAATTTCTCCTTACTTCTAAGTTGCTTCTCTCCTTGCTTAGTTTCCATTCGTTGCTTCTTGTTCTGCCTTCTGGTGCTTTGGAGAATAATTTGATCCCCTCTTCTTTGGGGCAGCCCCTCAAATACTGGAATACTGCTATTATGTCACCCTTAGTCCTTCTTTTCATTAAACTAGACATACCCAATTCCTGCAATCCTTCTTCATGTGTTTTAAACTCCAGTTCCCTCCCTTGACAGGAAAGCAGTTTGAGCTTATTTTGGGCTGGCTGAGATGTCGGACCAGACGAGTCTTCAACCTGAGCTATAGCATCTCTCTCTCCCTGCAGTGGACCTAGGCTTTAATGCCAAAAAATGTATTTCAAGAGCATGTTGATTTAAGAGCTCAGCGTTAAATCCACAGAAAAGACAGATCCACATGTCAAACAAGGAGGAGAAATTGAAAGCATCCTTTGTGGCAGCCTCTTCATAGCAACCCAGCATGGATCCAAGTTAGATGCATTATTCCAATTATTCTTTTTATTTTTTTCCCTGAAGGTGGGGTGGGGCTCCGTCATTTTGCAAAAAAGGGGGAGCGAATCAGATTCATTCTCTCTCTCTCTCTCTTTCTCTCTCTCTCTCTCTCCCTCCCTCCCTCCCTCCACTTCTTCCTTCATCCAGAGGGAATCTCGAGGGAAGAGCAGAGCAAGAAAATTGCTTTGTCTCGTGGGCGTGCATCTCCTGCAAAGCTTCAATGCATAAAACGCCACCGGTGAAGGATGAAGAGCGCGGGGAGCTTGTGGCAGCTTGGAGGCTGAGAAGAAACCGGAGGTGAGCCGAGCAAGCCATGGCCTCCCGTCGCACGATTTTGCTCACTGGCTTCACAACTGGCCGGTATCATCCTCTCGGGGAGCCTGATCGCCAGGGGTTGAATTGGGGGGCAGAAAGGAGAAATTGCTAGCCAAGATCATTCCTTCTCTGGCCTGCCAGCATCCATGACCCCCAGGCCCGATGAAGCGGGCTCTGAGGTGCCACAGATGGACCCAGCCATCCTCATCTTTCTCCTGTATCTGACGATCATCCATGAGCTGGTGAGTGGCTGGATGGAGTATCAGAAGCAGGCCACCAAGCCGAAGAAGCAGGCTGGTCCTCCTTGGTCAGGCAGGTAAGGTGTTAGTGGGTTTGTGGGTCTGTGTGCGCCGAAAGGGGCTCTATGCTGAGTGTGCCATTGCGGTGCCAGCATGGCTTGGCATCTTTTGATGAGAGCAGAAGGGTTTCCCACTGAGCTACGGCTCTGCTGCTGCTCTCTCAAAACAAGCAGAGATGCTAGTCCTCAAGGTTTGGGAGAAAGGGCAGAATTAAGAAGGAAAAGATGGGAGCAGCGGAAGGCACTTGATTTTGAGTCAGCTCTGGGTTCAAACACTCTTTCCAGACAGTCTTGGAGATGTTGCCTTTGGAATCCGGGACTCTCTGCACCCGAAGGCTGTGCTTCCCCACTAAGCTATGGTTCTCTCAAAATGAGCAAAGATTCTAGTCCTCATGTTTTGGAAGAAAGGACAGAATTAAGAAGGAAACGATGGGAGCATTGGAAAGCACTTTATTTTGAGTCAGGCCAATGTCTACCCAGTCCAGCGAAATCAGTACAAGCTCTGGCGATTCAGTCTTTTCCATCCCCATCTGGAAACATCAAGGGTTGAGTTAGATACAAGAAATGCTGCTGTTTTCCCAACGATTTCTGCATGCTTTGGAAAAGTAAGATTCTGGTCCTCATGGCTCTGAATAAAGAACAGAGTTTAGTCAACATGCATTCAAACACCAACGTTTCTAGACTCGTAGGGTTTCAATTTACAATTCCTGTGCCACTTCACCAAGGTGTTACTACCGAGTTGTTTGCACATTCTACTTTGCGAGGTGTTTCTGAACTGTAGCTCCCCCCCCGGCAGGTGACACCCAACCACCAACACACACATACACACTTGCATTCACACATTATCACCTTACTCTGCGCCAGCTCTAGGCTGGAACGGTGAAATCAGTTCAGGCATGTGTAAGTTGCTAATGAATATTGAAACTTTGGTTCAAATCCATTTTTTTTCTTTTTTTCTTTTTCACAACAAAGAAATTTCCTAGAAAGTGTGCAGAGCAGAGCCACAAAGGTTGGGAGGCTAAACCATAGGATGAACGGTTAAGGGAACTAAGTAAGAGCCTGTAGTACAGTGGACTAAAGCACTGTTATTAACATCTGCTGCTTGCAATTACTGCAAGTTCAAATCTCACCAGGCTCAAGGTTGACTCAGCCTTCCATCCTTTCAAAGGTAGGTGAAATGAAGACCCAGATTTGGGGGCAATAAGCTGACTTTGTATAAATATATACAAAAGTATGAAGGCTATTGCTTAACGCATTGTAAGCCGCCCTGAGTCTCCGGAGAAGGGCGGCATATAAATTAAAGCAAAAGAAAAAAAAAACTGGGTTGTTATTAGTTGCGAAGTCGTGTCCGACCCATCGTGACCCCATGGACAACATTCCTCCAGGCCTTCCTGTCCCCTACCATCCTCTGGAGTCCATTGAAGCTCACGCCGACTGCTTCAGTGACTCCATCCAGCCACCTCGTTCTCTGCCGTCCCCTTCTTCTTTTGCCCTCCGTCTTTCCCAGCATGAGGCTCTTCTCCAGGGAGTCCTTCCTTCTCATTAGGTGGCCCAAGTATTTGAGCTTCCTCTTCAGGATCTGGCCTTCTAAAGAGCAGCCAGGGTTGATCTCCTCTAGGACTGACCGGATTGATCGCCTTGCAGTCCAAGGGACTCGCAGGAGTCTTCTCCAGCACCAGAGTTCAGAGGCCTCAATTCTTTGGCGCTCAGCCTTCCTTATGGTCCAACTTTCACAGCTGTACATTGCAACTGGGAAAACCATCGCCTAGGTATAGGTTTAGAGAGCTGGGTATGTCTAGCCTAATGACGAGAAGGATTTGGGGTGACATGATCATTGTCCTGAGGGGCTGTCGCAGAAAAGAGGGGATTGATTTATTCTCCAAAGCACCAGAGGGCAGGACAAGAAGCAGTGGGTGGAAACTAGTCAGAAGTAGATCCAAGCTAGACATAAGGAGAAATTTCCTGACAGTGAGAATGGATTAATCAAGGGAACAGTTTGACTCCTGGAGTTGTGGTGCTCCATCGCTGGAGGTCTTTAAAAAAGAAAAAAAGAATGGACAGCCAGAATAATATTGCCCACGATAGAATAAGAACTCCTTCCTCATGGTACCCTACTTCTCTTTCCTGGCTTAGTTTGAATTAGCTTCTGCTGCTTAGTTTGAATTAGTTTCTACAGGACAAGAAGCAAAGGGTGGAAATTAATCAAGGAGAGAAGCAACCTAGAACTAAGGAGAACTTTTCTGACAGCGAGAACAAATAACCAGTGGAACAACTGGCCTCCAGAAGTTGTGAATGCTCCAACACTGGAAGTTTTTAAGAAGAGGTTGGATAACCATTTGTCTGAAGTGGTGTAGGGTTTCCTGCCTAAGCAGGGGGTTGGACTAGAAGACCTCCAAGGTCCCTTCCAACTCTGTTTACTCTATTCTATTCTATTCTATTCTATTCTATTCCATTCCATTCCATTCCATTCCATTCCATTCCATTCCATTCTATCCTTTTCTATTCTATTCCATTCCATTCCTTCTCTTATTCTATTCTATTCTATTCTATTCTATTCTATTCTATTCTATTCTATTCTATTCTATTCCATTCCATTCCATTCCATTCCATTCCATTCCATTCCATCCTTTTCTATTCCATTCCATTCCTTCTCTTATTCTATTCTATTCTATTCTATTCTATTCTATTCTATTCTATTCTATTCTATTCTATTCCATTCCATTCCATTCCATTCCATTCCATTCCATTCTATCCTTTTCTATTCCATTCCATTCCTTCTCTTATTCTATTCTATTCTATTCTATTCTATTCCATTCCATTCCATTCCATTCCATTCCATTCCATTCCATTCCATTCCATTCCTTCTCTTATTCTATTCTATTCTATTCTATTCTATTCTATTCTATTCTATTCTATTCTATTCCATTCCATTCCATTCCATTCCATTCCATTCTATCCTTTTCTATTCCATTCCATTCCTTTCTTATTCTATTCTATTCTATTCTATTCTATTCTATTCTATTCTATTCTATTCTATTCTATTCTATTCTATTCTATTCTATTCCATTCCATTCTATCCTTTTCTATTCCATTCCATTCCTTCTCTTATTCTATTCTATTCTATTCTATTCTATTCTATTCTATTCTATTCTATTCTATTCTATTCCATTCCATTCCATTCCATTCCATTCCATTCCATTCCATCCTTTTCTATTCCATTCCATTCTTCTCTTATTCTATTCTATTCTATTCTATTCTATTCTATTCTATTCTATTCTATTCTATTCTATTCCATTCATTCCATTCCATTCCATTCCATTCCATTCCTTCTCTTATTCTATTCTATTCTATTCCATTCCATTCCATTCCATTCCATTCCATTCTATCCTTTTCTATTCCATTCCATTCCTTCTCTTATTCTATTGTATTCTATTGTATTCTATTGTATTCTATTCTACTCCATTCCATTCCATTCCATTCCATCCCATCCCATCCCACCCCACCCCACCCCATCCATTGTAATGCTTGCTAAAATTATTTAATCCCCACATTCTTTTTATTTGGTATCTTTTTCAGCGGCTCTTCCCAAGGAAACCGTTCAAGCGCGTCTCACTCGTTGGCTTACCCAGCGCCACGAGAGCGATCCAAGGACTGGAGGAAGCCAGGCAGAATCATCCGGAAAGCGTAAAACCGGCTTCATGATCTCAATCCACCGGGTTCAGCTAAGGAAGCTGTCGAGAAACATGGCCGATTGGAGATTCCACGTTGATCCTGGCTGTGCGGCTGTTCTGTCTAGCTGCGATTGAACTCGGAGCATCTTCCAAGCAGCTTAGCATGGTAGGTCCAAGATCAGACAGCGCACCCGAGTTCCCCGAATGAAACAGGTATCTGTAAATAGCGGAGCACCGTTGACATGGTGCTTTTAGCATCATCCAGAGCAACCGATGGACCGATCCTCACAGTGGATGAACATTGTACCTTCACAAGCATGTGGCAGAATGAAGAAGACGACTGCTTGAATGGATGACCGTAGAACAGACCAAGTGTTGTGTCCTGCCGGTGGCCAGCAGAGCTGGCAGCAAAGTCGGATAGTGAGGAGGTTGGGGAGGAACTTGGGCCAGTCCTGGGGGCTGGGGAAAGCTCAGACAAGGGCTCTGAGCTAGACAGCAGTGAGGCAGAGGAACAGCTGGAGCCCGTTCCCAGTATGCGCGTGCGCAGAGCTGCCAGAAGACAAGAACAACTCAGAAAGCAGGGTCGACTCAGGAGTAAAGCCACCCCTTGGAGGTGATTGGCCCCTCCCATAGAAAATAAAAGAGGAGCAAACAGGGAGTGGGCCTTTGCAGGAAGCAATTCATTCATTCCGTGACTCTGAGAGACTCTGTGCCATGTTTGGCCTTGTACTGCGGTTGGAAACAATTCACGTGGCAGCTTGCCCAATGAGATGAGGTCTGTGTTGAGAAGTATTCCTTTGAAAAACTGTTTGGACAAACTTTGCTGACTGTGAATGAACGTAATTCACAGTCTGTGTAAATAAAAGAGGTTTTTGCCGGGACCAATTCCTGCCTCCTGCTTGTTAAGGGAGAGTAGGTCAGAACACCAAGATGGACAAAGAAAGGGATGCAAGAAAGTACTACGTCCCCAAAGGAATTTATTTATTTATTTATTTATTTATTTTATTTGTCAAGAACGTATTAGGTAATATATACAAGCATGGATTGGATACATAAAATAGATACAAATAGAGGAAACATTAGGACAGGGATGGAAGGCACGCTGGTGCACTTATGCACGCCCCTTACAGACCTCTTAGGAATGGGGTGAGGTCAACAATAGACAGTCTAAGGTTAAAGTTTTGGGGGTTTTGGGATGACACCAGAGTCAGATAGTGCATTCCAGGCATTGACCACTCTGTTGTTGAAGTCATATTTTCTGCAATCGAGTTTGGAATGGTTCACTTTAAGTTTGTATCTATTGTGTGCTCGTGTATTGTTGTGGTTGAAGCTGAAATAGTTGACAGGTAGGACATTTTAGCAGATAATTTTATGAGCTACGCTTAGGTCATACCGAAGGCGGCATAGATCTAAGTTTTCTAAGCCCAGAATTTCAAGTCTGGTGGCATAAGGTATTTTGTTGCGAGCAGAGGAGTGGAGGACTCTCCTTGTGAAATACTTCTAGATACGTTCAATTGTATTAATGTCCGATATGCAGTGCGGGTTCCAGACAGATGAGCTGCATTCGAGAATTGGTCTAGCAAAGGTTTTGTATGCTTTGGTGTGATATTACCGGAGAAGAAGCTACGCAAGATTAGGTTGACAACTCTTAATGCCTTTTTGACGATGTTGTTGGTTGAGATTTGGAGTTGCCAATTGTTTGACCATTCTGACACAAAGTTAAGGTCTTTTTGAAGGGTAGCAGTATTGTCGGTGGTGTTAAATATTTTTACATCATCAGCGAAAAGAACGCAGTTGCTTAATAATATGATCACAAAGCTCATTTATGTGTAGTATGAAGAATGTTGGTCCTAGAACGCTGGATTGGAGCTTTCTTATTGATATGGGTAATTTGTTTTTCCTGGTTTTGGTGGTGATTAGTGGTATATATAGTTTAATAACTCTATTGATTTCGAGCCAGAAAATGTTATAATGGTCTTCGGCAGTGTTACAGCCAGAGAATAGAATTTGCCAATCAAGAAATTAGAGGTCGGTGTCTATGAGATCACAGTTGGCTTTTTTGAAGTTGTAATTGAGTATCCCATTATTTTGGTGATTTTTGTAAGGGCGTATATTGAGACAAAAGTCAATCATGCTGTGGTCACTTTTATTTATTTAATTTAATTTATTTAACTGTGGTCACAATCAGAGGATTAAAACATTGGGAGATGGCAGTGGAAGTTGAGGTAGAAGGGGGTGGCCTCAACATGTAGGTGACACAGGGATTGGCCAGTGGATGGAGAAGATGAAGAGCATGGGAATTAACACAGTGCTAGGGAAGAAGTTATGAAGAAGCCTGCTAGGACAGAAACATCTCAGCTCTCCTCTGTTAACCCTGGTGATGGTGATCATCCTTGGTTTGGGCAACCATCAACCTTTGGGGCAATTCCTCTCCATATCTAAGCTTCTCTGCTCAGCACTCTTCTACCTGGTAGCAACTTCTTTTGATCCTCCTCAGCTTCCTTTCTTTTTGTCCTCCTTGAAGAAACTCCTACTGGGTGTTCGAACCTGACTTTTTCTCCAAGACCTACTATTCTTCTCCACCCTCAAGACCTCGACCATCAATGACTTGCCAATGTACCTTATGATTGACGTACCTTATGATTCTTGTCGAATATATCTTTTCTTTTATGTACACCGAGAGCATATGCACCAAGACAGATTCATTGTGTGTCCATTCACACTTGGCCAATAAAAATTCTATTCTATTCTATTCTATTCTATTCTATTCTATTCTATTCTATTCTATTCTATTCTATTCTATTCTATTCTATTCTGTTCCATTCCATTCCACATATTCTATTCTATTCTATTCTATTCTATTCTATTCTATTCTATTCTACTCTACTCTACTCTACTCTACTCTACTCTACTCTACTCTACTCTACTCTACTCTATTCTATTCTATTCTATTCTACTCTATTCTATTCTATTCTATTCTATATGTGTTTTTAAGGACTCACCTATCAGAACTGTCCATCATGTCCTTGATCTACAGACGCGTCACTGAGATCTTTTCCTTCTTTCTTTTGGCATCTCCTTGACTTCCTATTGAGAGGTTTACGTTGCCAAAAGTCAGTTTTGAATACCAACTCCATGCAGACGATTGCTGTCATCGGTGTCACCTTTGCTGTGTGCTTCATTCTGCTTAGCCAGACCCTGGTTGCAAATGGTGAGACCATTCCAGCTGTCATGTGGAGAAGGTCCAAGTCGGTATATCTTTAATCTTCGTGGTTGCCAACTGTTGACTTGACCTCTTCATCCACAATCCGGTCATGGGGAAATCGAACAAATGTTGTTGAGGTTCCCTATGGAGAACATTTGTTTCTAAGGGTTAGAAAATCTTTTGGTGAAAAGACAAAAAAAGCATGAGAATTTGTGCTTAGTAAATCATGCTTTGAAAGGCGAGTAAGAATCTCCAATGCTTGTCTGTTGCTTCTTCCATTTAGCTTCTATCCGACTTCCGAAAAATAATAATAAGATAGTTGCCAGTGAGATTTTGATGTCAAGCAGTGGTGAAATTTAATTTTTTTACTACCAGTTCTGTGGGCGTGGCTTGGTGGGGCGTGGTGTGGTGTGGTGTGTCTTGGTGGGCATGGCTTGGTGGGCGTGGCAGGGAAAGGATACTGCAAAATCTCCATTCCCGCCCCACTCCTGGGGGAAGGATACTGAAAAATCTCCATTCCCTCCCCCACTCCTGGGGGAAGGATACTGCAAAATCTCCATTCCCTCACCACTCCTGGGGGAAGGATACTGCAAAATCTCCATTCCCACCCCACTCTGGGGCCAGCCAGAGCTGGCATTTGCCGGTTCTCCGAACTACTCGCTACCGGTTCTCTAGAACCTATCAGAACCTGTTGGATTTCACTCCTGATATCAAGGTAATCTGAGCCTTTGCTAAAAAAATTTTTTTCTTTTCAAATCCTTTTAGATTTTTAAAAACACATGCATGGAGTCATGTATTCATGGAAGCCAAACTGAAATTCTTGGGCGTTAGTTAATTTAGTAAATTTTAGTAAATTAACTTTTTTTTAAAAAAAACAGATTAGCAGTATCTAACGGGTTGCCACTAACTGGTTTCTCTTTGAAGACGTTTTGCTTCTCATCCCATGATTAGGGAGCTGGAGGAGGCTAAAACATATGAAGAACGGTTGCAGGAACTGGGTATGTCTGCTTTGATGAAAAGAAGGACTAGGGGAGACATGATAGCAGCCTTCCAATATCTCAGAGGCTGCCCCAAAGAAGAGGGAGTCAAGCTATTCTCCAAAGCCCCTGAGGGCAGGACAAGAAGCAACGAATGGAAACTAATCAAGGAGAGAAGCAACTTAGAACTAAGGAGAAATTTCCTAATAGGGAGAACAATTAGCCAGTGGAACTCCTTGCCTCCAGAGGTTGTGCATGCTCCATCACTGGAGGTTTTCAAGAAGAGATTGGACAACCATCTGTCTGGAATGGTATAGGGGCTCTTGCTTAAGCTGGGGGTTGGACTAGAAGTCCTCCAAGGTCCCTTCCAATTCTGTTATTCTGTTAATATGAACTTGGACACCAGATGGTGCTCCATGTTATCCACTGTGAACTCTGTTGAGGAAATTTCAGTATTAGGGTTCCTTTCTAATTGTCTCCAAAGAAAATACGTTGTGGTGCCCTTCTACGCAACGTGGCTGCGTATATTCTAAGTTGGATAAGAGCAAAACATTCCCTCAACCCCTTAACGATTTGTTTATTCTTTGCTGACCTGCCCAACCTTTTAAAGAGCTGACAATTTATTAAGACATCATTGAGGTTTCGGGAGAGACATTACCCCATTTCAGATTTAACTGGATTGCTAGATCAGAAATGGGTAACTTTGGGCTGCTTGAGATGACAGTTAACATTTGAGAGAGTGGGGCAAAAAGATGATTCCAGAATCAGAAGACATATTTGTACATTCGGGATTATGAACTTCCTTCCTTCCTTCCTTCCTTCCTTCCTTCCTTACTTACTTACTTACTTACTTACTTACTTACTTACTTACTTTCTCCCTCCCTCCCTCCCTCCCTCTCTCCCTCCCTTCTTTTCTTCCTCTCCCCTCCCTCCTTTCTTTCTCCTTCCTTTCTCTTTCTTCCTTCCTTCCTTCCTTCCTTCCTCTCTCCTTCCTTTCTTCTCCTTCCTTCCTCCTTCCTTCCTTCTTTCCTTCCTCCTCCCTTCTTCCTCTCCCCTCCCTCCTTTCTTTCTCCTTCCTTTCCTCCCTCCCTCCTTTCTTCCTTCTTTCCCTCCCTCCCTCCGTCCCTCCCTCTATTGTCTGGATGAATAGATGGATGGGTGGGTGGGTAGGTAGGTAGGTAGGTAGGTGGTGTGGGGGTGGATGGATGGATGGATGGGTGGGTGGGTGGGTGGGTGAGTGGATGGATGGATGGATGGATGGATGGATGGACAGGTAGGTAGGTAGGTGGATGGATGGATGGATGGATGGATGGATGGATAGATAGATAGATAGATAGATAGATAGATAGATAGATGATAGATAGATAGATAGATTGATAGATGATAGATAGATAGATAGATAGATAGATAGATAGATAGATAGATGATAGATAGATAGATAGATAGATAGATAGATAGATAGATAGATTGATAGATAGATGCAATAATGTGATTCAGCCGGTTTTGTCCGGTTCGTGTGAACCGGTAGCGCCGACTGCAGTAGGCCCCGTCCACCTGCCCAGATGTAATGACATCCTATTTAGCCACGTTTTGGAGGCCGTGCACATGCGTGGAAGGCGCGCGTGTGAGCAAAGAGCATGCACGGAAGGTGTGAATGCTCACATTTTGCAAACCGGTAGGGAAGGTAAGTGCATCCCACCTCTGGTTGGTTGGATGAATGAATGGATAGCTGGATGGATGGATAGAAGGGAGGGAAGATGGATGGATGGATGGATGGATGGATGGATGGATGGATGGATGGATGGATATCTCTTGTTTGATGTCACAATTCAGCTAAATCTGCAACCAGGAAACATCTCCTGGGACCTTCAATTACGTCTTAGGACATTGTCGCTTCATTAAATTGCTGAGCTGCCCAGGTTGTGCTGTTAACTCTCAAATCCACCTACCATGTGTAAACAACTCTTCCACTGTGTTTGAAAAGCCCAGCCACACACGAGGGAAGTAGGGCCAGGTTGCTCAACTCAACGACAACCTTTAATTATTATTATTATTACTACGTAGGAGGTCTAATCCCATTTTCAGGAAGCTCGTTTCAACCATTCCAGATCCAGATCTTGCCTGCCGTGACGTCGATAACAAGGAAACCTCTTGGCAAGGAGGAAGGATCCACAGAAACTCCGATGGATAAAGACTTGATGAAGAATCGCCTCGTAGGAAAAACGGAGGTGTGAAAATTGAATCAATAAAACTTTAAAAGGGGTAGCGTGAATGAAAGCACATTGCGTGATCCCCCGCAAGCGAGGATGAAAGGATTGTAGAAACCATATCCAACAAACGGTATACCGAAGTCATCTTTTCTGGCGTGAGTGAGATTCCACTTGTGAATTAGGGGATAACTTATTTATTATTTTATACAGGACATAAATTTTTGATCGGTGCCCTGGAGCAGATTCAGAGGAGATCAAAAGAAGAGGGTTGAATCGACAGGAAATAGTTTGGTGGAGAGAATCAAATCCTCACCACCCAGAAGAATGCAGGTAGTCCTCGACTTACGACCGCCACTGAGCCCAACACTTCCATCACCAAGAGAGACATTTGTCAAATGAGCTTGGCCCTGTTTTACGACCTTTCTTTGCCACTGCGGTTAAGCGAATCCCTCCTGTTAGTAACATGGTGGTTGAGTGAATCTGACTTCCCCGTTCACTTTGCTTGCCAGAAGCTCGCAAAAGGAGGATCGCGTGACTACGGGGGACACTGCAACCGTCATAAATACGAGTTGATGGCCAATTTTGATCACGTGACCAGGGAGATACTGCACGGTCCTAAGTGTGAAAAGCGGTCCTCGGTGTTCTGACCGAGGCTTCCTGAGTCAGTAAAACACACGAGTAGTCCCAAAAACCTCTTTTATGGCAACAGCTGTGAATTCTGTTCATTCACAGATGAGTCCCAAGTAGTTGTAAAAAGTCCTTCGGGATAAGTCTGATAATCACCTACCTTTATCTCCCTTGGCACACTGCCAAAGACCTAATTGGCAAAGCCACACGGAGTCCAGAACCAAACAGAGCTTCAGACTTTAAACTGAACAGAATGAACAAACGTTGCTTCCTGTAAAGGCCCACGTTCTTTTGCTCCTCTTTTAAGTCTTATGGGAGGGGCCAATCATCTCCAAGCCTTACTCCTGAGTCGTCCCTTTTGTTTTAACTGTTCTTCCCTTCTTGCAGCTCTGCGCATGCGCGCACTGGGAACAGGCTCTCCCTGTTCCTCTGCCTCGCTGAGGTCCGACTCTGGAGGCTCCGGAGGCAGCACGTACCTCCCAGATGGCCCTTTCTCTGCCTCCGACGCAGAGCCCTCATCCAGTCCTTCCCCAGACTCCAGGATTGGCCCATGTTCCTCCCCAGCCTCCTCACTGTCCAACTCAGCTGCCAGCTCCACAGGCTGCTGGCGGACCACAACACTCAGTCCCTTTTTCCCCCATGCCCTTGTGACTTCGAATGGACTCTAAATGAACTGTTCTAAGTTGAGGACTACCTGTGATTATCCTGTTACAAGAAGACAAAGTTCCACCCG